AAAAACCTTCACATAAAGAAACTCTACGACAGATGCTTTTGCTTATAAATTCTACCAAATATTTAAGGAAGAAATAACACCAATCTTACAAAAACTCTTCCAGAAAATAGATGAGGAGGAAACAACTTCTCAGGTTGTTATCTGAGGCCAGCACTATCCTAATACCAAAGCCTGACAATGACATTATAAAAATATAAATTAACAAATAAATCTCCCTCTCTGAAGGGGGCTTCCCTGGTGGCTCAGATAGTAAAGAATCTGCTTGCAATGCAGGAGATCCAGGTTCAATCCTTGGGTCAGGAAGATCCCCTGGAGAAAGGAATGGCTGCCCACTCCAGTATTCTTGCCTAGAGAATCCCATGGGCAGAGGAACCCGGTGGGCTACAGTCCACGGGGTCACAAAGAGTTGGGACATGACTGAGAGACTAACGCTTTCACTTCACATCTCTCTCTGAACACAGACATAAAAATCTTCAACAAAATATTAATGAATTGAACTCAGATAATACAAAATCATCAGGTGGGAGTTTATCTCAGGATTGCAAGGTTTAGTATTGCAATGCAAGATTCAACATTGTAAAATTAACCAAAGTAATCAGCCATCACACCAGAATAATGGAAGAAATTCACTTAATAATTTCAGTGGATATAAAAGAAAAATCTTACTTCTAACCATGTTCATCTGAATTATTGTTTCCCATGTCTGTCATTTCCCTTTGATTTCAAGATTTGTTCTTTGTCCTAAGTTTTTGGAAGTTTGATTTTGATGAGTCTAGGCATGGATTTCTTAGGTTTATCTCACTTGGGTTCATTCAGTTTCTTAAATCTCTGGGTTTATATTTTTTCAACCAAATTTTAGAAATTCCTTTTCCTCCCCTTGCTGGACAAGTGACATGTATGTCAGAGCTTTCTTTATTGTCCCACAGATCTCTGAGATTCAATTCAATTATTTTTCAATCTTTTTTCTTGGCCATTCAGACTGAGGGTCTATTGATGTGTCTTCAAATTAACTGATTCTTTCCTCTGTCATTTCCCATTTGCCACTGAGCCAGTCTAGTGAACTTTTCATGTCTGTCATTATATTTTTCAGCTTTAAAATTTCATTTGATCCTTCTTTATATCTTTTATTAATATTTCCTTCCTGAGATTTTAAAATATTTCTCGTTTGTTTCCAGCATTTGTTACTGCTTATTGAGACTTTAAAGTTCTGGTCTGATAATCCCTAGTACTGTGTCTTCCTGGTGTGGCCATCTCCTGATTTTCTTTCTCATTAGAATTGAGATTTCATTGGTTCTTGGTATAATGAGTAACTGTGGACTATATCCTAGCCATTATAAGATCCGGTTACTAATTATATCCTCTATTCTAGAAGGCTGTCAACCTATTTAGGTTCAGAACACATTTCCTACATTACTTTTATGGCTTATGGTTCACACGTCATCTGAGTTTATAAAACTTCTGCGGTGCCATTCTGGTCTCGTCCTTCAGATGACAGAGCTCCAGTCTATGGTCTCCATTGGTGCTAGCTCGGGAGGAGGAGGGGAACCAACTCAACACTACCAAGTAAAGGAGGAAGGTATGATTCCACCCGCTGAGTCAGCTGGGGAGGGGCATTGCCTAGTTAATGCAGGGCGGGAGGGAGGCATTAAAGCCCCATCTACAGTGCATAGGGGGAGGGGTGATATGAAAGTGAAAGTGTTAGTCGCTCAGTTGAGACCCCACGGACTATAGCCTGCCAGGCTTCTCTGTCCATGGAATTCTCCAGGCAAGAATACTGGAGTAGGTTGCCATTCCCTTCTCCAGGGGATCTTTCTGACCCAGGGATCAAACCCAGGTCTTCTGCACTGCAGACGTACTCTTCATTTGAACCACCAGAGAACCCCGCAGGGGACGGTTTGCTAGTCCCTTCCTCTTGTTGCAGAGGAGTGGGAGAAGTCGGAGTCCCACCTTCAGGCTCCATAGGAGGTAGGCGTCACTTAGTTACTGTGAGGGGAAGGTACAAACTTTTACCTAAAGGCTCCATGGAGGAAAATGACACCCCATTACTATAGGTGAGGGTGTAAAATAGGTTTTCCCTCACTGGCTCCACTACTGTGGTGTCAGTTCAGGATGGGAAGGGATGCAGTTTTTTTGGCACAGTATTAGGGATTATCAGACCAGAATTTTACAGTCACTATTATAAAGACCGTGCCCATTCATCCAGAATAGGCAGAAATGATTAAAGGGTTTCTCTTCAGCTGAACTGCCCTTTTCCAAGTCCTTTGGCTAGAGAGCAGGTTTTCTCTTGGAGATGTTCTTCTAGTCTGTGCTCATTAGTGTTTCTAGCTTGCAGGACACCCAGGCCAGGATATATAGGAAGCAAGAACCCTGCCTCTGCTCCTCCCAAGGAACTCAGTGTGGTGTGGCTCCTCATATTCCAAGATCCGTGGTCAGTCTGACATCTTTTCTCCACTTTTGAGAATCTTCTGGTAGGTGACTCAGTATTTTGTCTAGGAATTTTTGCTGTGATCAGTGGGAAAGAGTACAAAGAAAATGCATTTATTCCACCTTGTTCAGAACCAGAACGTGCTATTTGTTTTTAAATGCGAAGAAGAACTGAGGATAGAAGGTTGGAAAGACGGCTGTATACGTAAAATGAATCAAGTACAGTAAACTGTTAATGGCAGAATCCTGGTGTCAGGATATGGGTGTTATCTATAAATCTCTTTCAACTTTGCTATATGTATGAAATTTTTCATAATAAAGTGTTGGGTAGGATTTTCTGATCAAAATAAAATTCAGGAAAATTTTAAAAACCTATACAATGCAAAGAGAAGAAAACAATTCCTCTGTTGAGTGAAAGAGAGGTACTGGAAATTTGCTTTGATCAGTAAGTCACCACATTAGCTGGAATGAGCAGCTATGAGATAACAATAGCTTTGTGTAAAAGCTTTAGCCGGATGTATGCTACTCCTCATTTTTAATAGCTTACTGTGTACATTGCCTGACCCTTAGGGCTTGTCATCTTTGCACCCCTAAGAGCAATTCCATCGGAGTTAACAAGCAGAGTGAAACTGAGCTACTCAAGTAGTTGAAGGACAATTAATGTTGGGGAGGGGCTAAATTCTTTATTTGAAATGAAAATAAAAGAGAGGGAGATCGCTTCAAAATTGAATCTTTATTTCTGAAAAAAATCATCGACACAGAATAAATGTAAAGGGTCCAATCTGAGCTGACCCGGGGACAGAGTCATGCCAATGATCTCTTAAGGCTGAAACTTCTGTTTGCTTGGACTTTGGACACAAAGTCCACTCCAATATTAAAGAAAAAATGTCAAATAAATTTATTTAAAAATAAATGTATTGTTATTTATAATTAATTTTTAGAAAGACACACAGTGACCATTTCCACAGAGTAAAAGGTCTTAGGAATGCAAAGCAGTCCAGAACACTGATTCTCCTTGTTCTTCCCACAGGTATAAACAGGACATGTGGCAGATGGTAGGGGAAAGCACAGGCACGGGAACGGCACGGACGGAACCCTGGCTCTTTTCTGCTAACGGAGGACACCCAGTCCGCGTCTACAGTTCTTGGCACCTCAGCAGCCCATCTGTAAAATGGTTACACTGCTCACTGAAATAAGGATTACATGAAACGACACATGCAACATGCCCTCTCACCTGTCTAGAAACCTATTTAGGCACACACTTGGTTAATTCTGGGGAGGATGAAATGAAAAGAACAGGTGCTATTCTATTCCTTTCACACACGATGAAAACTAATCGAAAGCTCTGGAGGGGTGAAGCAACGGCCTCTTCCGCTCCCTGTCGGGACGACGCCGGCAGTACCTGCCTCCTGCGTGTACCCTGGCTGCTTAGCTGGCTGGGCTCTCCTGGGCCAAGGCAAAATCATGCGTTGAGGCTGAGCTCCCTGAGTCAGCAGCTATACTGCAAAGTTCACAGGACTCTCCTAGGTTTTCTTCTAGAAAGGCCTACCCTAAACCTACCTGGCAGAAGCTTAACCAGAATTTTCAACATAACGGTATGAAACCGCGTCAACAACAGCCTCTCTCCAGGGGCCGGAATATGTTTTACATGTGGGCGTCCCAAGGCAGCACGAGTGGTAAAGAAGCCACCTGCCAAAGCAGGGGCCACAAGAGACATGGGTTCAATCCCTGGGTCTGGAAGATCTCCTGGAGTAGGAAATGGCAGCCCACTCTAGTATTCTTGCCTGGAAAATTCCATGGACAGAGGAGCCTGGCAGGATACAGGTCGCAAAGAGTCAGATGCAACTGAGCACATGCATTTTAAAAAATGGCCACCTTAATTTTTTTTTTTTTTTTTTAAGAAATAGATCCTAAATGCCTGAATATGTTGTTTGGTAAAATGTCTTAAGATTCTTTTATTCTAGTTACAAAATAACAATGAATGTAGTGACTAAAATTGTCATTCAACATTTACCTTGAGTCTTTCACTGATATTTCTGATCCTCACAATGCCTGAGCCCCTATGCCCCTCAATCCATTAGTCATGCCCCCAATTTATGCATTAGCTTCATAAAAAGACCAGCCTGAGGCACCTTTTCACTATTCACAAAATGAGTCCAATCTTTTATTTTGGCCTGCTTTATACTCACTTCCTGACATTCTCATTCAGCCTAGTTCTCATCCCTACGGTGACTTTACCTATAGGCTCATTTAATAACTGGGAATCTGTCAGTTGTCCTCTTCTCTGGCTCTGATTTCTGGCTTCCCTCATTAACTGGGAACAGTATCTGCCCCACTGACTACACTCCTTTAAGTCACAGTGTACACATATTTTACTAGGCCTAGTTTCTGAGTACAGGCCCGAGCAGCCAATATTTCCAAACTGGTTTACACACCAGTCTAAACACTTACGTCATATTAAAGCTTTCAATCCATTCATGTTTAGGGACCAAAATGGGGGAATTTCCAGAATTAACAAACAGTCAGCTTCTGCCTATTTTTCATGCTACTGGTTTATTACAGGCATTCTCCTTTACCTCCGCCTTTGGCTCAGCTGATTCATTAGAGGTATCAAGTTGTTCCTTGGCTTGGGCCATCTGAGTCATCAATCTATCCATATGGGACTGGATGTCAGCCAGTATCTCAGTCACATGAGCTGTGGCCATTGCTTCCTGGATGTCCACTAGATGAAGGGCCTTCTGCTCCTCATCCGCAATCACTTTTTGAACTTTCTTAAATTCTTGCTGTATAAACACCTTCATCTGGTCCCGAGTTACCTGCAGAACAGAGACGAGTAAGAATACGTTGGACACGCAAAGAAATGGGAGAGTAGGGCTATTATTCTAAATGCAAGGTAGCCCTGGCCAAAACACAAACCGTGGGTCCTATCCTATCTTGAAGTTTTGGGACTATCCTTTGAACAATGTTTCTCGGATACTCTTAATGAATTTCCTGCCACTCTTTTTGCTTTTTTCATTCTTTAGGAAGTGATTCCTTATCCTTCCTTTTTATTCTTTTGTTTTCATACCAGTAATACATAATCACTTTTTAAAAATTTAATAGATACTGCTGTTTAGTTGCTCAGTCATGTCTGACTCTTTGTGACTCCGTGGGCTGCAGCTAATCAGAGTCCCCCGTCCACGGGATTTTCCAGCAAGACTACTGGAGTGGGGTGCCATTGCCTTCTCCAGGGGGTCTTCCCCACCCATGGCTTGAACCCATCTCTCCTATGCTGCGGACAGATTCTTTGCGTATATTAAAAAAAAGAGAGAGAAATTCTTCTTCTCTCTCTTTCCCAGTACCATCTTCCTCCTCAGTGGGTAGTTACTGTTAACAGTCTGATCCATGCCTTTCTAGTCATTATGTGTGTGTGTGTGTGTGTGTGTGTGTGTGTGTGTGTGTGTGTGTACATATATATATGCACAGGCATACCTTGGAGACACACAGGTTCTGCTCTAGACCAACACAGTAAAGTGAATATTACAATAAAGGGTCACACAAATTTTTTGGTTTCCCAGTACATATAAAAGTTATATAGAAGTATATAGAAGTATAAATATATACTACACTGTAGTCTATTAAGTATGAAAGAGCATTATGTTTACAAAAACAATATACATACTTCAATTTAAAAATAATTCATTGCTAAAAAATGCTAACCATCATTTGAGCCTTCAGCAAGTCATAAACTTTTTATAATGGTAACATCAAGATCACTGATCAAAGATCAACAATATAACAGACACAATAATAATGAAAAAGTTTGAAATGCTATAAGAATTACCACAATGTAGAGGGATTGGGTGGAGAGGGAGGTGGGAGGGGGGACCGGGATGGGGAATACATGTAAATCCATGGCTAATTCATTTCAATGTATGACAAAAACCACTGCAATGATGTAAAGTAATTAGCCTCCAACTAATAAAAATAAATGAAAAAAAAAAAAAAAGAATTACCACAATGTGACACAGGGAAAGAAAGTGAGCATACAACGCTGGGAAAAGAGTATTGCTCAATGTAGGGCTGCTACAAACCTTCAGTTTGTAAGACACGGTATCTGCAAAGCACAATGAAGTGAACCACAGTAAAACAAAGTATGCTGTACACATACAGACAATTACGTTGTTTTTATGTAAATGGATCATGGTGAACGTGTGGTTCTGCGTCTTGATTTCCTACTTGAAAAGTTAGTATATACAGAGCAACTTCATTCATTGTATTATTTTTAATGCCTGTATGATACGGGTATATACAGATATGGACATTTATAGAGACAGAGATAAAATATAAATATATCCATTAAATATTTCCCTTCTTAATAGAAATACAAGATATGTCCAAACTTTTGCTTTTATGAACAGGACAGCAATGAACATCAATGGCCATACCTCTTAATATTTGCATATGAATTTCTCTAGAAACCTTTGAAATCACTGAACCAATTTATATATATATTCTGAAACTACTGACTGATACTGCCAAACTGTCCTCCAAAAAAAATGCACCAATTACATTCCCACAATGTGTGACGTATGCATTTTCCTACACTTCCCCCAAGAGTGGATAATATCAAGTCTTTAAATTTTTACTCTCTGATGAGTGAAATATATTATTGTTTTATTTTGCAACAACAACTGTGTAGAATAAATAAAATATGACTCCGCTGCATTTGGCTAGGGCATAAGGCAAACAAAATGAGAAACTACCAAATCTGAATTTCCAAATGCCGTATCTTGCCAGCAACTACACGTATTGATGTTTCCCCATAACCATGTTTATTTTATGAGTATTGTTAAACAACTCTGCATATTGAGTAGCTGAGGTAGGAAACAGGGAAGAGGCAGAACAGTAGACAAAAGGACAAAAGCCAGTAGAGAATTTTAGAGCTGAAAGAGAAAGTAGCTGTCATCTAAGTGAACCCCCGTCTCACAGATAAGGAAATAGACCCAGCTATAATCCTGGAGGAGACCCTGAGCTCTCCAATCTTCTCGCTCCCAGTCTGGGGCTCTGTTCACTGTAATAGTCTGTCAGAAGGGAAGTCAAACTGGGAAAACCTAAAAAGGAGACTAGGAAAGAAAAAGACTAAAGGAGAGAGGAAGATGAGGCCATTTTCTATTAGCCTCTTAAAAACTGAAATAGGCTTGATACTTTAAGCAGCTTTTGTAACACTGCCATAAAAGCGTCAGTGCAAAATAAGGCCTGCAGGACACTATCCATTCAAAAGGCAAGTGACAAAGTGACATAAGCCCTCATGAATTCATATACTCTTTGCAGGTACTCTCCCCAGTGCTAAAGAAAAGGGGAGGGGGAGTGTTAAATGTTATTAATGTCCCTCCAAGTGCTTTATCAGATTGAGAACTGTGATTTGTGTTTATTTATATAATTCCTTTTTATTTTTAGTATATATATTTCAAGGGTGTTATGCTTTATGGTAATCATTTATCAGTGAATCTGGATCTCTACCCTTGAAATAAATTTAGTCTTATAAGACCTCTCTTTAGAGACTAAATCTTTAACTAAGGCATAAACTTTTTGAATTCCTAAGAAAAGCTCTTCCAAGTGACTAAAAATGGACAGCATAATAAAAACTGACTTGTAACCGACTTCACTAGACATCACATACACATGTGATTTGAAGTTAAGAAGCTGACATCACAGTCAGGAAAGGTGGGGACTACATTGCAGTAGGTGAATAAATCATGGTTTTTAAAACAGAAATTATCTATTTTCCTTTACTTTACATAGGTTTTTCAACCTTTATTTTATGCAATTTATTTTTATACAGATTAGGCCACAGATTTGAAGGCAGAATACTTTATAAAACCTTTCTGCCTTCTTCTCACTCCGATTCTCTACTAATCAACAAGAGGTATTCTCCAGGCTAGTTCAAAATGGCATGAACAAACTGGGTCATGGCATTAATTTAAATCCAGAGCCCAAAGGAGAGGCTCCCCGGGGGATTAGGCCACCGGAAGGTTAATAGGTTGAGCACTCTGGAGAAAGGACACCTCCCAATGGCAGAAATGAAACAGCTTTCAAAACTTCCTTTCAGGTTTCATTTCAACCCTTCATCAAAACTTCACCCTGCTATAAACTTCACAGTTCTCCAGAAGCAGCCGGCCCTTCACATCAGCACTGACAGTTGGGAGCCACTGACATCATTTCTGAGTAGGTTTCCTAGAATTTAGGTAGCCTCTAACCTACAGCTTCCCAAAGATGACAGTCATAGTCCCATACTCTTGACCGTACTACATGCAAGTTATGTCAAAAGAGAAAGCTCTTCATAATCAAAGAAGAGAGAAGGCTGGATGTATCACAGACTGATAAGACTGGTGATGTAGAAGTTTCCTTTTTATAGAATCTGATAGTAATTGTCACACCTTTTTAAAGTCACAGAACTTCCCTTGCCCCAAACAAAGACTTACTGTAGAAACCCGAAGTATAATAGAACCCAAAGTAAAACCACTCTGGTTAAAAGAAAAACCGCCCCATCCTCCCTGAAGTGCTCCCTGAGGCACTGGAGGTTCTCTCCAGGAAAACTGTATCTGAGTGACCTGGGTCCCCTATACAAATGAAACCAGAAAAAGAGTTTGCTCTCTTTGGTCAACTGATTAGTACCTAAGTTGTTAAAACTTTAAAGACCTAGGTTATAAGCAAGTTGATATATCTTTCTTATAGGTGTATTTGGTGAAAAACATAGCATTTTCTAAAATTACTTAAACACAGCATTGTATAGAATAAGCAGCTCATTTGTGAATGGCCAGAACTAACTAGTGAACATCTGATTGTTCTTACTAGAGCTGAGTCCAACTCTCTGGTGAGGGGAAAAAAAAAGCCCCAGAGAGGTACAGTTACAAAGTATAGTTTAGAAACCAACTTTCCTCTGGTCTAGACTGGTGTACCTTCTGCTGTAACATGTTGCCTCTAAGGATCCCTTTCTGCCTGCTTCAAGTTCTTCATATTTATTTCTTCTTAATGAGATATTTCTGCTGTTAACAGGTTGCTTCTGTTATTATCCCCACTAGGATGTTATTTCCCCAAAGTGAATCTTGGGATGAAGGATGTACATTTGAAGAGTTAAGTCTCATCCCGTGGTACTTTCTATATGGTATTATAGTTAATATTTCTAAGCCAGACCAGACCCAAGAGGCATGCAGACTGTCACTTTACATATACATAATTAAATACAGAAAATCCTGAATTAAGAGCTTGTACTTGAAAACACTACCATTCGATGGGTTTGACATGAGCTGGAAATCATTAACTCCTCATTAGCTGGCCTGTAGAAAAGCAAGGTTTTATTTACTTTTTATTATAGGAAGATTATAAAAACAATAAGCATACTAGCTAGAAAGCATGATGGATTTGTTCCAGAAAAGTGTTGCTGAGATGAACTGAGAAAGATGAAACAGGGTCAGGAACAGGAAGCTGCACAAAAGCAACACATCTGAGTCTACCCTGATTGAAGCTTCCAGAAATACTTGCTCTATTAGCCAAATCTCCTGCAAATAACTTTAAAGCAGTCCATCCCAAGGAAAAAAAAAAAAAGGTTCCAGGGGAACTTTTTCAATGCTGTAATCTGTCCTCACTCCCACAACACAGTACCCTCTCAGCATGCCAGTGTCCATGGAAACTTCCAGGTAGGGAATCTCAAAGTTAAGGCGGCCAGTATAGCCTGTGGATCTATTGAGGCATTTTTACCTCAAGCGAGCTCCTTGAAAACCTCTGCCAGGCTCCAGTGAGGGCAGACAAGGGAAGAGCTTCATCCTCAAGGAGG